AAAAAAAAAAAAAAACGAGGACTGGAATTCCCATTCAATCCAGCTATTCGTCTTCTGGGTATTTTCCCAAAAGAACTTAAAACATCATACCACAATGATATATGTGCACCCATATTTAGAGGAACACAATTTGTCACAGCCAAATCTTGGAAGCAACCAAAATGCCCATCACCTGACAAATGGATGAAAACGATGTGGCATTGTTATACAATGGAGTATTACTCAGCTATAACAAAAGACAAACTTGAAGCCTTCATAGGTAAACAGATGCAATTAGAGGATATACTCATAGGTGAAATAAATCAGACTCACATGTATAAATATCATATTGTCTCCCTAGTGCAAGAACTGAAAGAAGAAATAAAACCTGAAAGGTATAACAGATAGAGTAAAACAGAAAGAAATGGAAGTTAAGGATTAAACAATGAAGAGGAAAGGAAGGAGAAAAGATAGGAAAAAAGGCAGTGGGAAAACAGGCAAGTATATATACAGGATAGCTGAGGTGATTGTGACAAAAATTTCCATCAGTTTTTTGAAAATAGTAGTTAATGTGTATAATTTTCACCTTGACTAACTCTGCATATTGATATCTGCAATTTAAGCAAATACATCAAGGACAGCAATGTGTAACACAATAACATGCTTGAATATTTGTCATGTTGGACTTTTTTTTTGTACTTTAGGGAAGGGTCTATGGGGTGTTGAGGGTCTCACTACTAGATCAGACTCGTAGTGCTCCACCTGTTTTCAGCCTCCTAAGAGCTGGGACTGCAAGCGAGCACCACCACACCCAGTCTGAATTGGCGTCTCAGTGAGCCCCGAGGAGTGGGGGGCAGCATGGCAGGCCCAGGGATTGAACTCCCAGCCCCTGTACTTGCTTGCAGGTGCTTTAGTCTGCTGAGCTTTTTGGCCAGCCTCTATGTTTTACTTTTAAATGTGTACCATTTCTAATGTCATATCAATTATTCCTATACTTTCTTTAAAACAAAAATTTGGCCACTTCTTTCTCAATAAAATTATTAAAATATAAAACAAATTTTTAAGTAAAAAAAGAAAAAAGAGAGACAAGAACAAAAGTGGAAATAAGCAATCATATGTCCAACCTTACATAACTGTATCTGTCAATCTGAGCAACAGATTTGATGATAAAAATAGATAATATATCCACCAGTGTTAATCATCTATTCATGCTCTGAAAACTATGTACTGTTGTATGTTACCCTGCTTCTGTCTTTTTTCTGATTTTTGTTGTTTTTGTTTTTACTTTTCAAAATTAAATTTTTAAAAAATAAAATACTGTAGAGATCTTCATTTTTTCCTCTCACATTGGGTTACTGAGCCTCTTGTGGAATGACATATTGAAATCAAACAAAAATGTAGAAATTTAAAAGAACGAAATGTTGTCACTTCTTACACACACCAATAAATGTGTACTTAAAGAAATAAAACAACACTTGCTGGCAAAATTGGGAAAATGTGAACACTTCCATAGTGCTGTGGGAAGGCAAACTAGTGAGACTACTATAAAAATCAGTTTATGTAATTCTTAAAAAAGATAAAAATAGAAATTTCACTGCACAGAGAGCTACCCCTCTTAGCACATCTTCCCAAACAGTTAAAGATACCGTATGAGGTACAGAAATCTGCGTACACGTGCTGAGAGCAGCGTAAGTCACGACAGCGACATCACAGAGGCGGTCCATATGCCCATCAGCAGATACACGGACATGTAAGTCGTGGTACATGGACACGATACACTTCCACTTTGATAGGTACCAACAAATTTGAGACACTTGGATGAAAAGGGATGCTCCTAGCACTCATGATGCTAAGGAAAATAAACTGGACCTCGCCAAACACGCTTATCCTCACATCTGTGAGGCATTCAAAGCATAAATAATTTAGAGTCTGTTACAGGGTCCCAGAAGAGGCTCCCGGACCTGAAGCCACCATGCTTCCTGGAGCCCTCTTGCTGGGCCACACGGCACCTCGTAATCCCTCAAACAAGGCTCCTACTGAGGGCGCCGATTACAATCAGAAGCAGAAGAGAGAGTGATGTTTCCCGGGTTGAAACGGCAAAGTCATTTTTAAATGCCTGTTCTCTTCTTGTAGGGCATCCAGATCATGATTGGACTGATGCACCCGGGGTTTGGAATTATTCTGGCTTTACTGAGTTACAGTCTGACTGAAGCTTGGGGCTTTGGCTCCATCTCCTTTATCGCGGGATACCCCTTCTGGGGCGGACTGTGCGTGAGTAGATGACAGAGTCCCTCTCCCTGCAGATCCACATATTGCGGGCCCACACCCAGCTCAGCCGCTGATCAGCCCTGGTTCTGAGCGCTGGAGAACTCCCACAAATCACAGCGCTGACTGGGCCTGCACAGGAGGAACTTTTCTTCCTTGCAGCTTAAACCCATCCCCCAAGTATACTCTCACCAAATGATCATGCCCAAGCGCTAGTTGGCTGTGACACTGAGAGGAAGTGTCTGACAGAAGGGGCGCTGGCAGTGGGAGGGTCCCCTAAATAAGACTGAAATGCACAGTCAGGCTGAGGTACCTCTGGGGGCTACAGCACTTGCCAGTCACGAGGGAGATCCTGGGTGGCTCCACCCTCAGCACTGAAAACAAAATGAAAAAATATACAAATGATAAAGACACACGATTGGGCAGTCCGCTCAGAAAGCAGCAGAATAGCAAAAGGGTACAGGACAAAGAGCGTGTCTTGTGCCAGGACCCAAGGAAGAAGAAAGGAAAGCTAAAGACAGCTCTGAGACTCTAGACAGGGGAAGCTCAGAGATGGAAAACACAAAGACAGCTTAGCCTTCCACATAAGCACATGGCCCAGGCACCATCCCAGAACCCAACATTTCACTAAAAAAATTTTGCCTCTTTCCACAGTTTGTTATTTCTGGCTCTATCACCATAGCAGCATTCAAGGAATTTTCCCCCTGTCAGGTAAGACTGCTTCCACTCCTCAAACCCCTTGCGCTGTGAGTTTAGTTTACAGGCATGAAGGTGGGAAGGGAGATGCAGAAGGTGCAGAAGGCAGGCACGCTTTCCCCCAAAGCACCTTCCTGCTGCCCCGGGCCTGTAGGGTGCTTGGGGAGCGGGCTCCTCCTGTCTGCCACTCAGAAGCGCTGGCTCTTCACTGCCTGGGAAGCTATAAAGGTCAGGGCTGTCTGAGCTTTAACCTAATGGCTCCTGGTTCCAGAAGAACCCAGGAACCGGAAGCACCTGCTGCCCACTGCAGTGACTAAGTCTCCAGAGTGTCTGCCACTGTTTAATTGCGAATATCACCTGCTCTTATTCAGGCTGGGTTTCTCATGCAGTTCCCTAAACCACAGTGCAGAGAATGTATCTTGAAACGTAAGAAGAGCTTCTGAAATTGCTCATGAGACAGGGCTTCCATTCTCAGCCCAACACCCACCTGGAGCGATCTCATGGCTCAATTCCATGCCAAGGAAACAGAGCAGTCTGCCAGACACTAGACCAGAGGCGAGCTCAAGGTTATGTGTAATACTGCGCTAGAGCAGAGATGGGGCAGAGGGAGCAGAGACCTGTGCTGCCCAGACTCTCAACGTAAAGTGACACTAAAACAATAAAGTACACTCAATCCAAGTCAGCCTAATTCACCCACTAAAACCAACAACCAAACCCTTCCCCCTCTCTCTGTACTCCTGTAGGTCCTTCCACTGAGACTTTCCAAGCATATATTCTGCCTTTTGGAGAGCTCACTCGGGACACTCACCAAGGACCTCAGCCTCTCTGTGAGGCCTTTGGAGGCCCAGGTGTGCCCAGGCAGGACACGGGTCTAAGAATGCAGCCGTGCCACCCCAGCAAACCCGCTGAGGACCTGGGTTCACAAGAATCAGAATCTTACTGTAAAACCTGCAGAACTTGTCTGCAGCCCATAAGCCTCTCCCTATACAAGTTTAAAGGCTTTCTCCTCTTCAACTTGGATTTCTACACCTAGTCCTGAGGGCCTTCATTAGATTTTAAGGCTATCAAAAAATAAATCTGAGACTGTATCTGATTCCGGGAATAAACCCTAATGCCAAAGTACTGCCTCATCCAGTGTAAGAACAAGATATTTGAAATTTTCCACATAGTTACTGATATGCAATAATGCCATTCAAGGCGTATTACTCCAGGAGGCTGATTAGGAGGATCGCCGATCTCAGGTCACTCCAGGAACCTCTGAGACACCTCATCTCAAGTAACAAAACATGAAGGGCTGAAGACACAGCTCCGTGGAAGAGCACATGCCTCGCAACACAGAGGTCCTGACTTCAGTTCCCAGTGCTGAAAGAAATGTTGCTTAGCCTTTCATTGTTTTAAAAAAGAAAGGTTTTATGTATGAAACTTTCGTGTTAATAGATGAGCTTCTGCCTACTATGACTAACATCTTTCTACAGTCCTTTGAAAATGTCTGACATCTAATTTACAGGGTATTTTATGGCAACAGGGGTAAAAAGAGGAGGCATTTGGACTTCCAAAATTGTTGCAAGGTAGCAAAGATGAAGAACCATTAACGCTCGCTGACTCACTGCATTTACCGTTGGTAACATTTATTTCTCCTGTTCTCCCCACCAGCTGAAAGGCAGCCTGGGAACGAATATCCTCAGCTGTATCTTCTCCATCATTGGCGTGGTCCTGCTGATCGTGGATCTGTTCATCAATGCCCACCACCAGCAGGTGTACTGGGCTTTGGTGAGTATCCCACAAACTGCTACCCGCCGCCTCTCTCCTCACCCACAGACGGGGTCTGTTTTTATCTCTGAGTTGCCATCTCCACAGAAACTCCAGGGGGAAATCCCTTTCTAACCCACCCTAGTCGTGGAAACACGCTGCAGGGAGACCAAGCCCTCACTAGTCTGCCCCACCATTAATCACAAGAGCAACAGGGAAAGGCTGGGATAGGCAGCCAGGACTCAGGAAGAATACACAGAAATTATTTCTGCAACTATTTAAAATTCTATATGAATAAGAGGCTGAAGGTACCAAGTGGCATGTTACTTTTAGAACAAGAATTGGGAGAGAGGAAAATGGCAGTAACAGGGCCCTCAGTCTACTGTGACCCAAACAGTGGAGGAGAGCAAAGGGCAGTGCTCCACGCAGGGGCTCAGTGCAGGGGCAGCTTCTCATCAACACCACAGTGGCCAGGCAAGGACGCTGGCCCTGGAGCCAGGCGAAGCCTGTGCCCAGGACACCTGCCACTGCAGGGAAGCAGGGCACAGTATGAACCAAGCTGCTTACCAGGCTTAGGGGGCCACACCAAGGACTTGGGGGTCCCTTCAAAGAGCAGAGCAAAGCCCAAAGGAGAAAAGCAAGACATGGAAAGGAGCCAGGCTCACCCTTCCTTAACCACCTGCTCTTGAGGAAATGCACCACGCCTCTCAGTCCCACCCCACGGGAGCGCAGTACGGACCCCTCCACAAGTGCTCGTGACACACAGCCTATCACCCAGGCCCACTCTTAAATGCCCCCCATTTACACCCACCATGTAAGCCCCGTCTAAGCTCCTGGCACTTGAGCCTTGGGGGCTAATTTGTGTCCCGGCCAGCACAGAACTCTGGGTAAACAAGGTGCAGCTTTGCAAGAACATGAAATTCACCTTCAACGGTGCCAAATGAAAAGAACAAAATGTGCTCAAAAGTCAGCTTCTAGCATGGCGCCTGCATGGAGAAGTAACCCTGAGGGAACTCAAGCAGGTGCTCGGCAGCTCAGCTCCTGGCCCCAGCTCTGCTCGCCAGAAACCAGAATGAGGGAAGGAGGAAGCTTCACTAACATAGCCCCAGCTGGAGCTCAGAAGACTAAAGAAGAACAGGGCGAGAGCTCTGCGGTTGAAGCCTCGCACAGCAGCCTGGTGCGCAGGGGAAGGACAAGAGCTGACAGTGTGTAGCGCAGCTCACTGATGCGGAGGAAGGAGCAGAAATCACCCTGGCACTGGCGCAGATCGGGATACCAGGCACTCAGTGGATGCTCAGAAGGGAGGGAGGGAAGTGGATGGGCAGGCAGGGAGGCAGGGAGGTGGGGGTAGGGAGGTAGGCAGGCAGGAAGGTAAGGGGGTAGGGAAGTAGGCAGGCAGGGATGTAGATGAACAGAACAAGGGATTTAAATCCCATCGTGTTGTGTACAAAGTAGAAGCAATTCTTTAAAGTTCTAGCAGAAAAGTCAAATGTCCTCTAAGCCAGGAAAAAAAATCATTTAGGCTCAGTCTTCAGCACCACAACATACAATGAGGGAAGACAGCAGGCAATACTTTTCAAAGTTTTCATGAAAATAAATCTTGACCCCAAATTTCACATCAAAGAAATGTGTGTGCAAGCTAAAAGGTAAGAAGATCCTCTCTGTAAAACAAGGCAACCTATGGGCATGAGTGTTTTAAAAACTTGATGTTTTATTCTGCTGCAAATCAGTTAACATAAATCAAGAGTCCAGAAAGGCAGAGGGAAGCGTGTAAAAGGATTAATGGGCAGCACCAAGCCATGGAAGTACTCAACTGAGACTGAACAGTTCCAAAATTGAAAGTAAGTGTTTTGGGGTTTTAGGCCTAAAAAGGAATAAAGTGAAAAGATATAATTACTGAAAACAGGGAGATAGAAGAGGCAGAGCAAGCTGAAAGGGACATGGAATGCCAATCACCTCCTCTTTCCACCATGAACAATCATTGAATACTATCTAAAGCTGAAACTCAAAGTGTACAGTGACTTCACCCTCTTCGTGGGTTTCATAAACCACTGTCAATAGGGATGTAGGTGCAGCACCAGGAATCAGGCCAGGGCCTTCACATGAGCTCCATCCCCAGGTTTTTCTCTTCTTTATTTAGAGATGTGGTCTGGGAAAGTCACTAAGTTTCCCAGGCTGGGCTGAAACTTGCAATCCTTGTGTCTCAGACTTCCAAAGTCCTAACATGGACTAACTCAGACCTCACTACAAAACACTGCTGTAAAAATAATTTAAGAGAGTACATATGTTAAAAGAAAAGAATTAGAAGTGATGCAACAATTTCACTAAACAAAATAATAGGAATTTGACAATGGTTGTTCTATTACATATTATCTTCAAATTGGTTGTTTAGATTACCAGATACAAACATGCAAAATTGAAAAACAGAAAAAAAATTTAAGCATTAACTGCTCCTTACAACAGACCAGCAGAAATCGGCAGTACAATTTCCCAAGCAACCTTGTATATATAACTGAATATATCTTTTTCTCTTCTTTTGTCCTTTTCCTCATCCTATCTGTCCATTCCCATTGAACAGATTTATTCCCCTTCATAGAGTCTATTGTATCTTTCAGATTTTACTCTTTTAGGTTCTTACAACAGGGAGACAATGCAATATTTACATACGAGGATCTGATTTATTTCACTAATCAATATGGTCTCTAGTTGTATCCATTTACCTATAAAAGCCTCAAGTTTATCTTTTCATGGCTGAGCAATACTCCATTGTATAAAAATGCCACATCTATTTATCTTTTCCTCAGTTGGAGACCATTTGGGTTGTTTCCAAGATTTAGCTATGACAAATGGTGCGGCTATAAATAGGAGTGCACATAAATCACTATGATGTGCTGTGTTCAGCTCATTTGGAAAAACGCCTAGAAAGGAAATAGCTGGGTCAAAAAGGACTTCTAATCCTAGCTTTTTGAAAAATTTTTCCACTGATTTCCAAAGTGGTTATACCAGTCTTCACTCCCACAAATAGTGGAGAAGGTTGCTTTGTCTACACAACTCCTCCACCATTTGTGATTGGTTGACTTCTTTTTTTTTTTATGTATTTGGTTGTTACAGGGACTCACTACACAGCTTGGACTCATAGTAATCCTCCTGTTTTCAGCCTCCCCAGTGCTGGGATTATAGGCAAGTGCCACTACATCAGGACTCTGGCCAGCTCAGCCTATCCTGGGAGCAGGGCAGGTGTGGCATGTTGTGCCAGGGATCAAACCACAATCTCTGCGCTTGCTTAAGCAGGCACTTTAGTCTGCTGAGCTATCTCACTGGCCCCTTGGTTGACTTCTTGATGATAGCCACTCCCTATGGGATAAGATGGAATCTCGCCTCTGTCTTAATTTGCATCTCTTGAGTGACCAATGATGTTGAACATTTTTTCATATATTTGTCATCTGTGTCTCTTCATCTATGAATTGTATCATCTCAGATGCCCATTTTTGTATTGTGTTTTTGAATTTTTGGGGCCTGATATTTTTTAATTCTTTATGTATTTTGGATAGAAGTCCTTTGTCTGAGGACAGTCAGTAATTATTTTTTTCTAAATACTGGGTTTCCTTTTTATTCTATTGGTGATTTCTATTTTTTTTTTTATTTAGGACAGGGTCTACAGGGTGTATAGGATCTCACTACATAGCTTGGGCTCGTAGTGATTCTCCTGTTTTCAGCCTCCCAAAGCGCTGGGATTACAGGTGCATGCCACCACACCCAGTCTCAATCACTGTCTCAGCACACCCCAGGGGCAGGGCTGGCACAGCAAGTCGGTGTTTTTTTGTTTCGTTGTGTTTTTTAAGAGAAATTTAAAAAAAAAAACAGTAACAATAACAAAGACAAAAACAAAAATAAAGCAACATGATTTTTTTGATGTGCTGAGACTTTTCCAAAAGATGAGATCCCAGTTGTTGATTCTTTGAAGTATTCCCCAAGCAGTTTGATCTTTGTTCATGAATTCTCTGCATACCCCTATGCCTTTTAAAATTTCTACATACGTTTTCCTCTAGAAGATTTAGTGTTTCACTTTTAATATTTAAATATTAACTGTAATTTTGTGCATGGTAGTAGACCTGGGTCTGATTTTAGCCGTCAGCATATGGAAAGCCAGCTTTTTTAAGCACCATTTATTAAACAGGCTATTTCTTCAAGTGAACATGTTTGGTCACTTTGTCAAAGATAAGGTTGCAGCACGTGTTTGTAGTTGTGTCTGCGTCTTCCAGTCTATTCCACTGATCCTCAGGTCTGGTTTGCTTTTTGTTTTTGTTTGTTTGCCAGAACTATGCTGATATTATCACAGTAGCTTTGTAGTATAAGTCCAACTCAAAGACTGTGATGCCGCAGTCCTTTCCTTTGTTGCAAGGATTCTTTGCTATTCTAGGTCTCTTCTGGTTCAGATGAAGTTAAGAATGTTTTTTTTCCAGATCTGTGAGGCATACTAATGATATTTTAATTGGGACTGCATTGAATCTGTATAACAATTTTGGGAGTGTGGCCATTTTCACAATGTTGGTTCTTCCTATACATGAGCAAAGAATAAGTTTCCATTTTCTGAAATCTTCTTTGATCTTTTTTCAGAGTACTGTACTTTTTATGGTATAAATCATTTACTTCCTTTTTGAGATTGACTCCTGAATATTTCATTTTTTGGATGTTGTTATGAAAGGAATGGTTTCCCTAATTTCTCACTTGATGCACTGTTTGTGCCTACAAAAGCTATTGATTTCTTATTGTTGACTTTGTATCCTGCCATGCTACTGAATTTTTTTATTAAATATATAAGTCTCTTGGTGGAGTTTTTGGGGTCTTCTGTGTAGAATGTCATGTCATCTACAAATAATGATGATCTCACTTCTTCCTTTCCAATCATTATCCCTTTCATTTCTCCCTCTTTCTAATTGCTCTGACTAATGTTTCCAGAACTATACTGAATAGAAGTCAAGAAAGTGGACATTCCTGTCTTGTTCCTGATTTTAAAGTGA